TTCTGATCGATTGTTTTTACATTCATTAATTTTACAGGAACACATAGTGCTTATTTCCAAATAGATGTCACCACGGGAACCGTAACGACATCTCATCTTTTGGAGCGTGATCCAGCCGCGTCATCTATCGTTAGTTTCAACCTCCTGATTGTTACGGTGACCGATCTTAATGGGAACGTTGGTAGCACTGCAATTACAATCAACCTGAATGAATTGAACGACAATCGACCAATCTGTAATCCAAGTGTATATACATATAGTGGTGTGATGGAAGAGTCTACTGCAGGTACATTTTAAGACTCTTTTACCCACAAAAGCATCAGACATCCAAACATCAATGTTTGTTTTCAATGGATTCTATTCTACATATTTTAAACCTTAAAACCATATATTAAACCTTTTTCCCATTTGAAAATTAAACAGTAATCATGCACTCTCTACTGCGCTAAACCCTTGTTTGTCTCTTTTGTAAATGACATCCTTGGTATACAACTTCTACAACATGAAATAATCAGTCATAAATCTAAAATTTAATTACGTGTAAGTATTCTTCACTTCAGTTATAACAGTGGCTACTCTAAGTTGTCAAGATATAGATGATGGAGTAAATGGTGTACTGACTTACTCCATAAGCCGTGGAAACGATGGTTCATTCACCATCGATGCAGCCAGTGGTTTGATAGAGACGTCTGGTTCACCGATTGATTATGACACTTTAGGTGGCCAGGGCTACATGTATACTTTAGGGATAGATGTTGTTGATAGTGGGACCACGGTGAGATCAGGAACAGCGACTTTATATGTGCAGGTATTGTTATGCATAAAATGGTAACAGCAGGCGGGGGCAATGTCTATGGGCACATTGGATTTAGACAACCCTGTCCATAGTTGACCATATTTGGTCATTATAGGTAATAGTCAAAGGAACTGTAACAGATAATAAGGCTCTCGGAGCCCTTTTGAAGGCTATATATACTATATATACGTAAATATTGTTTCAGATTCTACCAATTAATGACAATGCTCCAGTGTGGGGTTTATTGTCCCCAGCCTCCCCTTATAGTATATCAGAGAACGCTGGAATTGGCACGACCATTGTGACTGCCCCTGCTACTGACGCCGATGACCCTGGTACCGCTGATGGGCAAATAACATATTCAATCGTAAACGTAGTTGCAGGTATACTGTATACAGTGGTATAGTATAAATGAATGTGACTTTTTGATAACGTGTATTTCTGTAAGTTCATCTTTAAGGTCAGAAAGGGAAGAATAAACACAATTTTGCCAGAACACTAAAGGTGACAATGACATCGATGGAGGATAAAACTCAGTATAAAACAATGTGGCATAAAGAATCAATAAAAACTGCGATTGTCATTGGAACAATCACCTTAATACACAAACTATACTTTCAGATGATGCAACGACTAATGGTATAGCCCTATTCAGAATCAACCCAAGCACTGGAGTGGTGTATACCACAGGGCCATTGGATCGGGACCCAGATGGTGGAAAGGTTTATTATGATATAACAATAGAGGCCAAAGATGGTGGTCTCACACCAAACTCTGTTACTCAAGTTATTAATCTGACAATCAATAACTACAATGATATAGTGCCTACATTCATTAGATCACTTTATACAGCGACTGTGAATGAGGGTGACGCTATAGGGACGAAAGTTATCTCCCTTGAAGCATCTGATAATGACCCGGGTACAGTCCTAACATATGCAATCATAGGTGGAAACGCTGCAGATAAATTTCAAATGAACGTTGGAACAGCGGAGCTGATTGAGATAAAGACAATGATAGACTTGGACTCTCCAACAAATGACCCCAGTGTCTATTCACTGATACTTGAAGTGAAGGATGGTCCGTTGACACCTTTGCTCAGTAGCACAACAATAGTCGAGATCAATGTACAGCCTGTGAACGACAACGCACCTACTTTTGGTGACACCGTGCCTTCTGGAACTATATCAGTAAGCAAACTGGGGTGAGATTAAAAAATAAGAAATACAAGTCTACGAAATGGGAGCAGAGTTAAAGGGCAACACATAACACAACAGAACAGAACAGAACAGAACAGAACACAGAACAGAACAGAACAGAACATTTTTGAGAACAAAAGTTGTGCATTTTTAAATAATTTATGCTCACTTGTCCGATTCTTTTCACCTAATATTTACTATTGCTGTATTTCAGTTATCCGAAAATTCCGCAGTTGGAACCATTGTTGCTACAGTGGTTGCTACTGACTTGGACTATGGCTCACAAGGAAAAATAACATACACATACCAAAGTAAGCATATTCCTCTAGTATTCTACTCTCGTATCTTCTTTGCGAAAACGACATCTACAGATTAGAGCTAACCAACATTTTCAAAAGGCCTTTCGTTAAGCTTTAATGTCTTGTTTAAGAACCCCTATTTTACCTCACTATTTTACTAATCATCATTGTAGATATACAGGTTTAAAGTCCATAGTCCCCATGTTAGTCAATACACCCTTGCTGAGCAAATCTTCCTTTCAAATCTGATCAAATCTTCCTTCTCAGAACAAATCAAATTGATCGAGTCTAGATTCATGTGGGATAGTATTGCTAGAACTGTTTTCAATAGTAAGTACACAAGACATCGGGCTTGTTTCAGAATGTTTTTGTTGGCTCTAGATACCATATCAATACCATGCATACTAATGAATCTCTTGAAAGCCCATGATCAATTGGAAAACATGTCGATGCATTACATAAAAATGTGTGGGTTGATTCACAAGGTGGAGATCCTGGTACATACTTCCAAGTGGACAGTAAAAGTGGTGTTATCAGACTGCAAGAACAACTTGATTATGATACTTTAAGTGGTCCAATAATTGCATTAGTTGTACAGGCTGCTGATGGCGCTGCAGTACCAAATGTAGCAATCACCACTATCAACATTAATCTGCAAGATGTCAATGATAATGGACCCGTTTGTTCTCAGAATACATACAGTGTTAATATGAATGAGGATGAAGCTATTGGATACACGGTAAGTGGAATATGTTATATAAGATGCAGTTACCTTTCGTTTTTTTGGTCGCGAGTAAAGCTCAGGCACGACATGGAAATCTGAAATTATAGAGGGCGCATATTCATTTTACACACGGCGAAATGAAATGAGATTTCCCGGGAAATTTTGGACAATACTAGTATATTAATAGTCTATTGTACATTGTACAACCACATTTGACCAGCACGATCACAAATCACATAGCATGGCGTAGAATAATGGAAATAACGTCACAACGCATGCGCGTAAATCGACATTTCATGGTCCAAAGATTTCAATGGAGAGCAGTCTTCATCAAAATTTAAAATCTTAATAACTTTTTAGCAAATCATTTATTTTCTTAGGATTCAACGGATCCTTGTTACACTCAACAAAGTGTTCGTTTTGATATATAAATCAGCAAAATCCATCCATAGATCTTTCGGCCTTTTAATGATTTAATTTTCGGGATATTTTGCGAAAATCCCCCATTGGCCGCCATTATAAACTTTGAAAAAACTCAAATCCTCATCACTTCATATCATTCGTTAAGTGATCAAAACAACTCCAATCGCTTAGGATTCAACGGATTCTCAGAGATCAAAGCTAATACAATATGTTGACAACCCCCGTTTCAATATTTGCCGCATAATCTTTCGGCCTTTTAGGTTATAAATTTGTCAATATTTTGATTTTCGACCATTAATGACGTACTTGGATCCGAGATTCATTGTCCCGGGATTCATGACGCTATTTCCAATATTCTACGCCATGGGATCAATTAATATGCTCTAAAACAATCAACCACGTACTGACCGAGCTTAGTAAAGAAAAAATATCAAGGATCAAGGTAAATCACTTATGATCAGGAACAATCACCTAAACCAGGGACAATCAACTAAGATTAGAACAATTGAGTACAATCACAGTATCAAAACAAAATATTAAGAATCACAACCAAACAATTGCCCAGAAGAGTCAAGAAAAATTTAAAGTAATAAAAACAATCACTTAAGATTACGAACAATCACCTGTAAAATTGTTTAGGATCGACCCAATCCCTAAGGATCAAGACAGATACCAAAGATCAAGATCATGAGGTTATTTCTAAGGATCAAAAACATTATCACTTAAGATCAATAACAATCACCTAGGATCAAGATTAATCACTTAGAATTAAGAACACCAAGGGCTCAGAAGAAATATTTGGACCGGGAAAAATCACTTAGTGTGCTGTTAATGGGTTCAATAATGTAACTTAAAAGTCCAATATAAGATGAGATATAATGCATTTTTATTTGAGACATAAATACTATAACTTGACAGACATCTAGCAGCCCCTCGGCTATTGGCTAAAACACATCACGTGGTACAAAAGTAGGTCGAATTTGTGTAGTCCCGCCATATTTAGACAGACTTCCGGTACAAGTGCACTTGGATTTGCGCCCTCTATAATTTCAGATTTCCATGTCGTGCCTGAGATTTACTCGCGACCTTCGTTTTTTCACATATTTACACTTGATATAATTTGAAAATCATATCCTAGGCTTTGATATAGCATTTTTACTACAAACACTGGAAGAGTTATAGTATCATCTTTAAAGTAATATTTTGATATTGATTCTATATTTTTACGATTCGATGGAGGTAGGCTTTTCTTCAATACAGCAACGATTCAGGTTACTTATCCAGGACTCATTTCAGGTACTCGATCTTGACTGCACGGATGCAGATGCAACCGACATAGTTGTGTATTCTATACAGGCTGGCAACACAGCAAGTGCTTTCACTATAGACGCTGCTGGAGTGCTGACCACGGCTACAAGTATGAACGTGAACATAAAGATGATGATTAAGCACACAGGGCAATATTTTGGGAGAAACAACATAGCACTGACTATTATAATCGTTTGAACGAGTGCCAACTGATTTCCTAGTAGCAACACTCATAGTGTCACCATCAGATTCTTCAAGGGGCAACATGTGAAGCGCACATTCACACACAAAACAAAAAGCACATCAACTAACAAGACGAACGTTCAGAAATGCAATGAATTCATCAGCCAATCATGTTTAAAAATTCCTTTAAAATTCTAAATCATAGATAAGAAATTATTGTTTGAAATGTTTATTTTAATTTCATTGTTATTTTTTTATTTCAGTTGTGGACTATGATTCAACCACATCAAGTTACAATCTTCTGTTACGAGCTAGTGATGGGACTAACGATGCAGATGTTCCCGCCACAATAACATTGTTACCCATCAATGAGCATTCTCCCGTATTTGCTCCAGCAAGGGTCATATCTACATTATTAGAGAGTGTACTCCCGGGAACTGTTGTTGCAACATTGACTGCCAGTGATCTCAACCGTCCCCCACATGACATTGATGCATATTCTATTGTTTCTGGTATGAAAAATGTAACAAATAAACTCAATATAATATACCGTATGAAATACGACTCAATTGATTTGATGCATGACTAATTGATTCATGGGCTTTGGGTGAGAACTTATCCTTGGAGGAGCATTATTCTGCACAGTCATGTATAAGTTCTCCAAAAAGTGTAGCTTGGCCTCCGTGTAATACGCATGTGACGTAGTCTTAGCTTAAAGTATCTTATCTGCTCCTACCCTTAACATGCTGCATCTACCTGTAGTATGTCTTTCTGTGTCTGAGAGAGAAATGGGACTTCAAAGGAGATTACAGTTGATGGAAGATAAATGTATGGTGATTGTATTTGTTCCATTGTAATTGTTTTAGTCTCCAACAGCGGCATGGGACTCTTCATCATTGACTCGGTTACAGGGTCTGTTTCTGTTGCATCCGCATTAGACTATGACTCCATGCCTACAGATGACAAGACATACGTGATCACTGTGGACGCAGTGGATTATGGAGGGTTATCAGTGAGTGTGATCAAGTTATTGTTTTGTAACCTAGTTTTTAACAGATTACATATAACTTGTGTAATGAGACGACATGATCATTTACTTGTTTTCCTCTGTTTTTTCTTTTTTTGACTCAGTAATCGTATTGTTACAGGATACCGCAACTGTGACTCTGACAGTGAGTGATGCTAACGATATTACTCCTTCATGTTCACCCACATCCACCGCTCTACTAGTCAAGGAGAATATAGGTAAAACTAGAATAAGTAAGAGTCGTGTACTTGCTCCCTCATTACAACTAAGTTCAAGAGAAGACACTCGAAGATAACTGTAGACTATCCCAAAGGCTTATCAATCACCATATAAGCGAAAATCCATGACCATGAATCATTTCTTCCAGTTGCACTGCCTCACGCAGTTGTACAGCTAACGTGTGTGGACGGAGATGACAGTCCAAATGGTGACCTAACATACTCCCTTGTCCAAACACCAGGCACAAATTTTGCAGTAACGTCAAGTGGAGTGGTAAATCTCATCAGTAAGTGTTCTCTATATCACTGTCTAACGTACCATTTTATGATAATACAAATCTGGATGAGATTACATCAAACATCGTGTGGTATTTACTTGTATAGTAGGTAGCATTCGCGAATTCAACTGACGGCTGACGAATTAAGCTATTATTTTAAGCCAACTTCAATGAATGGAATACTGACATGTACTATATTTAAATAAGTGATAAGAGTAAGAGTTTTCACTAAAATATTCGACGCCGTTGTCTTCTTTTTAGGTACTTTGGATTATGAATCGGGAACTAGATCATATCAATTGACAGTAACTGCTCAAGATGGTGGCTCACCAGGTAAAAGTGTGAATGTAGCCATAGGTATAACAGTCCGACCAGTGAATGAAGGCCCTCCTGTCTTCACTGGGACATTTACGGCAACCGTGAGTGAGAACGCAGGACTGGGCACATCTGTCAGTGAGGTAGTTGCTACAGATGTTGACAGTAACACACATGAACATGGCATATTACAATATTCTATCATTAGCGGGGATTCAAACAACCAGTTCTTCATTGATCCGTCAACAGCTCAAGTTCAGATAAATGGCGTGCTGGACAGGGAATCTGTGAGTAGTTATCTTCTGGTTGTCCAGGCTCAAGAAACGTGTCTAACTTACAGCGCAACAGCGACATTGACTGTTACAGTACAAGATGTTAATGATGAAACACCTACATGCACAGTGGAATCATATAGTACAAGTGTAAGTGAGACACAGACAACCCCATTCGATATTGTCTCACTTGGGTGTACAGATTTGGACACGACACCATTTGGTACTCTGACATACTCCCTCACTGGAGGGTCTTCAGCTTTTGTTGTGTCAGCCACGGGGGTCATACAACTGACTGGCGATGTTGATTTTGATGCAGGGGTACGCCAATATGATATGACTTCAATAATAACTGATGGTACAAATAGTGAAACTGCAACAGTGTCGGTAACGATCAATGGAGCAAATGAGCATTCACCTATATTCACAAGATCAGGTAAAATACTATGTCTCATCGATTTGCATTAGATTGCCTAATATCAAACAAATGATCTCTGATTTTCCCCTTTATAGGCTCGTATTCTGCTATCGTTGATGAGGATGTTGCCATAGGGACGATCATCCATAAGGTAACCGCCAATGACGCTGATTCTTCTGATACAAAAGATGGCCAGGTCGGATACACATTTGTTAGTGGACCATATCCAGGTTTCACTCTAGACCAAACAACAGGGGATATTTTACTATCAAGGAGATTGGATAGAGAAACACTATCATCATACTCGCTTCTAGTTGAGGCTAGTGATGGAACAAATGTCGCCACTGCTACTGTTTCACTAACAGTTGGAGATGAAAACGACAATGCACCCGTATTTAGTCCCAGAACCTATAGGTACATATATCGTATACCCAACCTTTTTGGTTCTTATTTCCATTTTTGTGTATTCTTTCAGCTATAAGTCGTATAATATATTAGGTCGCAATTGAGATACACACTCAAAACACCCATTTCAATTAGAGTTACCGAGACATAAGATAATGTACAGGGTGGTAAAAAAACGGCAACCCTAATTTTTTCTCATATCTTTGTCATTTTTGGGAATTTTGCCCTGATATTTGGCACACATGTACATAATTCAATTTCATACTAGACTGTGTTATTTCATGAACATTACACTGATAGTCGCAATGTTACAGCACTTAAAACAAGGTGCCCTAGTTTTCCAATATTGTGCTGTAGGCAAACCTGCACACGTTTTCCAAACCTGTCAATGACATAACCGCATTCTTCAGCAAGTATGGCCTGAATGACACGTGTGATCTTTATTTTGAGATGAAATGTCTTTCTGGTGTTATTACCCTACACTCTATCTTTGGGGTATCCTCACTGGTAGAGATTAAATGGGGCAATATCTGGGCTATGGGGTGCCCATTCATTGTCTGTTGTACTGCTGATAATGTGGTCATTGAAGTGGTCCCAAAGCCATTATTGTGCATCATTTGGTTTATGGGGTATGGTTCTGTCTTGTTGGAACCACTGTTGCTGCCTTTCAACCCCCCTGGGTTCACCTTAAGTCCCCAAGAACTCCATGGGAATCACAAAATAGAGTTTGATGTTAACAGTTATTGCATATCTGTTAGCATCATCAAAGATAAAGGACCCTATATTCTGAGAACACACTAAACTGTGTATCTGTCTGTGTGAGGGTGCCTCTCCACTACTTCATAAAGTGCTTGGCTCTCCAAGAATACATTATTGTTAGAGTTTACCAGTGCATCGAGTTGGAAATGGAGTTCATTTGGATAACAGACCAGCTCAGACAGCCCGAAAGTGGCCATCTGGGGTATGTTGCTTAAAATGCAGTAATATTGTGACTATCAGTCTGATGGTCATGAAATATGGTAGGTTGGTAGGAAATTGAATGATATACAAATGTGTAAAATATCAGGGAGTTATTCCTTAGAATGACAAAGATATTAGAAAAAACTAGGGTTGCCGTTTTTTTGACCACCCTGTAGTAATATGTTGTTATTATCTAAACGTCACATGCTTTGTCTATACAGTCAAACACTGGCTGAAAGTGTCTCTGTTGGAAGTGCAGTCATAACTGTTACAGCTACAGATGCAGATGATCCGCTTATAGACAACAATGGCGTCATATAGTATAGGATTCATAGTAAGCCAAAAGCAAACACTATAGCTACGTGGGCTATAATATTATATTAATCTATTTACCAAAAGTAAACTGTAAATAAATAATATAGAAATCCAATATTTTTGTCTGCTCCACACATATGTTATAGATAAGGACGATATTAAGATAAATAACGAATAAATAATAATCTCTCGTTATTTCATACTTGGCCTGTTTTTGTAGGTGGTAACAACGGTGGAGAGTTCGCAATAGACCTCTCAACGGGAGCAATAACATTAGCCAGTCCTTTAGATTATGAGACGGCAACATCATTCACTTTAGAGATTCGCGCTCAAGACAAACTAGGAGGGGTGGGATATTTGACGGATACTGTTAGGGTAATCATCCAAGTGACTGGTATAAATGAAGGTTATCCTATATTTACTGAATCTATCTACTCAGCTGTATTATCCGAAGATAGCCCTCTTGGTACAACGATGATGCAAGTGATTGCAACAGATGCAGACGCTGGACTAGACGGTGATATTTTATATACCATGGCAACGAGCCCCGTGTTTCACATTGATTCAGCCAAAGGATATATCACAACAAAAGTTATGTTAGATTACGAAGCAACGGAGTATTACAATTTTGAAGTTGTTGCTACTGATCAGGGGACGCCTGCTAAATCCTCAACAGCTACAATCAGTGTCACAATAACTGATGTAAACGATGAGGCGCCTGTTTGCACACCAGGGATCCTGACAAGCACATTGCGAGAGGATGTTCCCATTGGAACTACCGTTGCAAGCTTATCTTGTTCTGATGCAGACTCTGGTCTGAACGCTGCTCTTAGCTTTGCGGTGACAACAGTTAATGGATATCCATCTGCAACCCCTGTTGTCATATCAACAAATGGAATTGTCACAACAAATGCAGTTGTGGATTTTGAAACAATGTCTATTTTTGATATTGAGTTGACAGTTTCCGATAGTGGGACACCAAGTTTATCTACCACTCTAAGGCTATCTTTATCCCTATCCGACGTAAACGAATGCAATCCTGATCTTTCAGGCAATCCAACGGGCATTAATATTCCGGAAAATACTGCAGTTGGATGTTCCGTTGTCACGATGAGTCACAAGAACTGTGATACATCTGAAAGTGTAATATTTAGTCTCACTCCAATAAGTTCAGTTTTCATTATAAATCCTAATACAGGTAGAATTTCTGTTTCCAATGAGCTTGATAGAGAAACAACACCCAGATATGTCCTTAAAGTAAGAGCTGAGGATAGTGGAAAAGTTGATGGTATTAAAACAAGCACATTGTCGTATACAGTCACAATCACTGATGTAAATGACAACACACCTGCATTCAACCCTGCTGCGTATGTATTCACAATTGAGGAAGACAGTTCTACTGGAACCACGGTTGGAACATTAACAGCCACTGATATTGACGATGGGGCCAATCAAGATCTTTCATATACCATTACTTCAGGCAACACAGATAACATATTCAGAGTTGACAAAATTATTGCTACGCAAGTTGCTGAATTAATCATTGATGATAGCACCAATTTGGATTATGAAGCATCACAGAAATATTCAATGGTGTTAACAGCAACTGATAGGGGGTCATTATCTTCAACAGCACGAATTGAGGTAATTATTCATGGCATAAATGAGGAAACACCTGTCTTTATCCCTTCAAGTGTGTACACGAGTACAATTGCTGAATCATCAGCCCCTGGTTCTGTAATAATGACAGTTTCCGCAACAGACGGTGATATTGGGAAAGATGGAGATGTATTTTATACTCTTGTATCAGGTGCATCAGGAAAATTTTCAATAGATTCAATTTCCGGGGATTTAAAAATAATTTCCAAATTGGATTATGAAACACAAATAGCCTATACCCTACTAATTTCATGTGCAGACAATGGTATAAATCCAACGGCATATACATCAACTGGCACAGTGAGTGTTTTCATAACCGATTCAAATGATGAGGCTCCTGTTTGTACTCAAAATTCATATGTAGTAAGTCTTTCAGAGAATACATCACCTGGGGATGTTATAACCACATTGATGTGTTCAGATACAGATGGGACATCACCAAACAGGGATCTGTTATATGAGATGACTAGTGGCGACGCAACATTTTTCGGAATTAATATGAATCAATTAGTTGTTTGGACTGGAGCTTCATTTGACTATGAATTGGTCAAAACTTTCTCCGTTACCATCAAAGTTAAAGACCAAGGAGTTCCTCAACATTTTGCAATGGTTGAAGTAACAGTGCAAATATCTGGAGTTAATGAGCATCCTCCAGTATTTTCGGCAGCAATATATAAAATATCTGTAATAGAAGATGCTGCAATCGGTACATCTATTGGAAGGATAATTGCTACAGATGCGGATGAGGGGACCGATGGTAAGATGATTTTTGCATCTGACATGCTTGAGATAATTTGCCGATTTTATTTAATTTGATTTTACAGTCAAGTTTACAAAACCAATGGCTAATTGTTTCTTATTGTTTTTGATTGCTTGTTCTGCAGGGGATGTGAGGTTCACAATCTCTAATGGGAATTCAGAAAACAAGTTCACTGTGGAACCAGTAAGTGGTGATTTGAGTTTGATAGCAGATTTGGACAGAGAGACATCAATATCATACTCTCTCACTATTACAGTATCAGACATGGGAACTCCTGCCATCACAGCCACAGCTATGGTCACAATAAGTGTAACTGATATTAATGACAATGCACCAGTTTGTGACCCATCAGTCTTTACAGCTGCACTGCAAGAAAGTGTTACAATTGGTACTAATGTAATCAGTATACTGTGTACTGATACTGATGAAGCCGCCAATGCTGTTATAGATTACTCGATAGGAAGTGGTAACACGAATGGAGATTTTAGTGTTGATACGTCCACTGGAGTTGTCTCAACTATGAATACATTAGACTATGAAACATTACAATCATATACCTTAATATTACATGCAGCAGACCAAGGCGCCCCAGCGATGACATCATCTTTAACGCTTATGGTCACAGTAAGAAATGTCAATGAATTTGCACCAGTCTTTATACCCACAAATACATATACAACTACAATCAATGAAAACGAAGCGTATGGACATGCTATTATCAATGTGCTTGCAAATGATGGCGATGGAAACACTGTTATATATGCTATAATATCTGGGGATCCAGCTGGGCTATTTGTCATAGATTCCGACACAGGGGAAGTCACATTGATGGGAAAATTGGATAGAGAAACAACATCAAGCTATCTATTAATCATCAAAGCTGAAGATGGGAATGGAGTGAGTACACTTACTGGAACAGCTACACTTCATATTACAATTAACGATGAAAACGATAATTCCCCGAAATGTAACCCTGACACGTACATTAGATATCCTGCTGAAGATGATTCTATTGGAACAGCATTGGCAACTTTACTGTGTACTGACTTTGACGCAGGTGCAAACGCAGAGCTCACCTTCTCTATTATATTAGGAAACACAGGTAGTGACTTCAACATTAACCCTACGACTGGTATCATATCTCTTGCCAATACTTTAGAATATGACAGCATCAGTACCCAGGAGTACCATTTGCTAGTTAATGTCATTGATGGCGGAGTACCCCCATTAACAGGTACTGCGTCGATTGCCGTTTATGTTTCATCTGTTAATGAATTCAATCCTATATTTACTGTCCCAATTGGTGGGTATGTAGCATCAATTGCTGAGGATATTGCAGTTGGAGATTCTGTAGTATCAGTAACTGCAACTGACCAAGACCTTGGAGATGCTGGCAATATAAAATACAGCATATTAGCTGGCAATTCTGATGGAAAGTTTAGAGTTGACAGTAGTTCAGGGCAGATACACATTTCTGCAAAATTAGATAGAGAAAACACTGATACATATACTCTCACATTAAGAGCAACCGACAGTCTTCCAGCAAATTCAGATGAGCGCTATACAGAAACGACGGTAATAGTTACAGTTACTGATGTAAATGATAACATTCCTGTGTTTAGTAGCGCTTCGTACACAGTGTCTGTATTGGAGGGAGCCACTGTCGGTACAGTTATAAAACAGGTTGCAGCAAGTGATGATGATATTGGCCTAAATGCTCAGGTATCTTTCTCAATTATCTCAGGAAACACTAACGGAGATTTCTCAATAGTAGGTGATGATATTTTTATTGCAAATCAGTTGGATCACGTAACAACTGGTCAATACAATTTACAAGTAACTGCAACAGATGCCGGCACACCATCGCTGTCAGCCATAGTTACAGTGATTGTAAATGTTCAAGCTGAAAATGAATTTTCACCTGTGTTTACTACTGCCACACATTCACTAAATATTAGGGAAGACATTGCAGTAGGATCGAGCATTTACTCTCCCATTGCAACGGACTTGGATGATGGAGTGCATGGTGATTTGGTGTATCAAATAATAAGTGGTAATCTACCATCGGGGACTACGTTCCAAATTGATCAGGGTTCTGGTGATATACGCGTCAGCTCATATCTTGATTATGACGTTGCACCACAAAGTTATAAACTTGTTATCAAAGTGTCAGACAAACCAGGAACAGGGTCAACTACATATTCATCAACGATGACCTTGACTGTGAATCTTGATGATGTAAATGACAATAGTCCAGTATTCTCCAAGAATGCTTATTCAATAAATATTGATGAATCAATTTCAACAGGAACATCTGTCATCTCAGTTTCAGCAACAGATAATGATTCTTCTAGCAATGGACAGATACGATACACAATCGTAGGTGGCGATGGAGTGGGTATATTCTCTCTTGCGACTATAACTGGTGAAATAACCTCTATTGCACTTCTTGACTTTGAAACCAAACAATCATACACAATGCTGATCAAGGCTAAAGATTTAGGAACTCCTTCAAAGTCTTCATTGTCGATTTTACAGATAAATGTAAATGACGTAAATGACAATATGCCTACTTTCCAACCAACCAACTACTTGGTTGCTGTAGACGAAAACCAACCAGCTGGAATATTCATAGCTACAGTTGGAGCAAGTGATTCAGATACTGGTGCAAATGCCGCCATGGCATTTGTCATAAATGCTGAAACCGACCCATATAGGCACTTTACGATTGGTTCAACAAGTGGAGTTATACAAACTACAACTTTGTTAGATAGAGAAACTATATCAAGGTCAGTATGTTGAATGATGTATGTCTACAATTCATAGTTTTGTAGTATGATTTCGTTCTTATAGCCTAAGTATAAGCTTTAGGACATACAGTATGAATGAGATTTTGTCTTAGATAGCATAGGTGTTGTGTTTTTCAGTTATCAACTTGAAGTCTTTGCAGTAGATGGTGGTATGATAGCGATGACTGGTACAACTACAGTTACCGTCAATGTAGATGATCTCAATGACAACACCCCCATTTTCAGCAACCTCCCTACATTTGTTAATGTCAATGAAGATGCAGCATTATCTAGCAATGTATTTACAGTATCTGCAAATGACTTTGATGCAGGTATCAATGCAGTTACGAAGTATTTCATCGATGATGGAAACTCATTGGGGCATTTTGCTATAGACATCAATTCAGGCGTAATATCAACAATTCAGGAACTAGACAGAGAAACTACTCCATCGTATACATTAGTAATACGTGTATCGGACACAGGGGTGGTCCCCCTTCAGTTGTCCTCTTCTTTGGTTGTCACAATAAATGATGTAAACGATAACACCCCTGCCTTCAATGCAGCATCCTACCAGTTTAGTATTGAAGAAGGCTCAATTGTTTCAACACTGGTAGGGCGCGTATAAGCTACTGATATAGACAACGACTTGAATGGCAATATAATGTATAGCATAATAACTGGAAACATTAATGGAGATTTTGCTATTGATTCTACCACAGGAGCTATAAGAACTGTCAACACGTTAGACTTTGAAACAATGAGTGGTTATGCATTGACTATACAAGCTGAAGATCAAGGAGTACCAAAGAAAAGCATTTTAGTGAATGCGTTCATCAATATTTTGAATGTTAATGAGAACGAACCAGACTTCACCCCATCTGATATCTATAATGCAGCAATAAGTGAAGGAGCAAATTATGGAGACGTGATACTAACAGTAGGTGCAACAGATGCAGATGGTGATGAAGTGTCATTCACTGTTATAGCAGGAGACCCATCTGGAATGTTTAATATTGACTCGACATCAGGTGTGATACGTCTACTTGGAACCTTAGACAGAGAAACATTGCCTTCGTTTACGCTCAAAGTAGAGGCCAAAGATAGTCATGGTTTGGTCAGCCAAGCAACAGTTAATATCAGTATAACCGATGAAAATGATAATTCTCCTATTTGTAGCCCGTCATCAATAACCAAGTACATTGAAGAGGATGAAGCTGTAATGGCTTCTATTGCAAGCCTCACTTGTTTAGATGCTGATCTAGGAGTGAACCAAGAATTGCTATATGTAATAGATGGTGGAAATACTGAGAGGAAATTTGCAATAAATGCCATAACTGGTGTCATAAATCTTGTAAACTCACTTGACTTTGAATCCACCAAAGTTTACAGTCTAGATGTAGCAATAACTGATACGGGTCAGGGGCGTAGGAAGGTGTAAATTCAACACTACGCCAAAAATCCCGCCAAAAATATGAAACAATTGTGCCAATATTCTAAATCAAAATGCCTATTTTATGCTCGTAAAACGTCATTTTATGGAAACATAGATTTTAAGCTTGCAATGTTTTTCACAACCTAAATGTGAACGGAAATACTTAAGCGATGCATTTGTATGGGCGATTGGTCATCGTATAGGTTGGCGTTTCGATTTTATATGCAAGCTTTAAATCACTGATACCTTTTTAATGTGCTTTAAAATGTTCGAATGATTTTCATCATTTAAAATCACCTTGGAAAGCATATCTTTTAAATCTCGACACAAATTATTTTCACTTTGCTAAAGTCTCGAACGATTGAGACGACCAATTTCCAAATAACAATGAGAGATTTTTTAATCATTTTCGAATAATTGAATTTAGATATGTAGTATTGTCTGATTCCATCGTGTACCGTGCAATACAATATGTACACATTAAAAAAACAAGTTTGATCACTTGATATAAAGAAACGCATTCGTGATCAATGAGACAAATAAACACCCCCCCACAAAGGTCAAATCGAGGTCAATGTGACTTAGGGGGTGCCAAAATGTTTTAAAACCAAGAATCTATTATTTTTCAAATGAAAAAAAAACTAGGTAATCGCTTTTCTAGAACTGAAATCAATGGAACGTGTAATTGAATAATCAGCATTTTCAAGTTGTTTTTGTCTTTAACATTTATATTTCAAGAAGTACTACAAATAACAATTAGTGATTTAGTAAGAAAATATATAATTGTTGACTTAACTATAATTTCGTGTCTATGATTTTGCCTAGCAACGGAATATAAATCGATGTAGTGAAATTAAAAAAATTGGGGTAGGGGAGAATAAAAAAATATACATCTAAAGGAGGAGGGAAATTAGCGCAACAGATTTTGGACATTCATATGTTGGATTTTGGCCATTTTCTGAGGATTTAAACAATTGCATATGTTAGGCCAATGCATTACCTCCAGGAAAATCACTTCTAGAGATGATAAAATAATTTCGACTTAGAGACAGGGTAGATGCAAACAACCCACCCACATGTTTTTTCTGAAATGTTTTCCTAATTTTCGACCCCTTCCATCCCTGCTTTTTTAATTTTTCTTGCATCAATATGTTGCATTTTGACAAATAAGTAACCACTTTAAAGGAATAAGTGATTCCTTCAGGGGTTTTAAAGATACCCATTATGGGTGACCAAACTTAGCTGAAAGCAATGATTTTTCCTATGGGAAAATAACATGGGAAATATCGTTTTCCACTTTATCTAAAAGGAATCATTTATTCCTTTTAAGGGATTAACTGTGTGTCAAAACGCAACATACTGATGCAAGAAAAATTAAAAAAGCAGGGATGGAAGGGGTTGAAAATCAGGAAAACACTTCAGAAAAAAACATGTGGGTGGGTTGTTTGCATCTACCCTGTCTCAAAGTCGAAATTATTTTATCATCTCTAGAAGTGATTTTCCTGGAGGTAATGCTTTTGCCTAACATATGCACCTCTTTAAATCCCCAGGAAATGGCCAAAATCTGTTGCGCTAACTTCCCTCCTCCTTTAAAGAGGTTCATCATTATAATTATATGATACCATAGTTTGCATAAGCATTACGGAACATGCAGAAAAAAATTCAAAGGTATTTGAAGTAGTTTTTGAAAAAAACAGTTTTTCTCTCAAATTTGTGATGAGAACCCGATTCACGAATATTTGGCGAAATTGTATTTTACTTTTAAAATTCGACAGTCAATAGTGGCTTGATTTTCATGAAATGAAGCATGTTGGTAATGGAATTCAATCTGTTAAAGTCCCCGTCTAAAGTTTGAAAATATTTTTTATCATTCATTTACTATTTGTCAGGACTTAAAAAGTGATTTTAGAGATTTTTGAACAAAAAAAAAAATTTGAAAAAAAAGTTGTGAGCATTTCATTTCTCAAATATTCAAATTTCCCGCCATTTTTCAAAAAAAGTTGAAATTTCTTTATTATCAAATATTTCTTAATGCATTTCAAAAAAGATTATCTTTTTAACACCAATGCAAAGATTGAACAAAGGACACACTATTTCAATAATAAAATGCCATATTTAATGGGCCACTTCAATGTTTTAGCATATCAAAAATATTTTGAAACATAAGTGATGTCACTAAGGTAACAAAAACTTTTTGAAAAGAATTGAATTTTTTTTTCGATGTCAATCTTTTCTAAATATGCTAGACTTTCATAAAAACCAATGTTGATTGTCTAACCAGGTTAAAAGGAAGAATAAATTATGTTTTAGATATCATTGTACCATTGGTTTCTATGAGAACTATAATTTTGAAATGCATTTTTCTCAGAACCATTTTCATGCACTGATAAGTTCATTTCTCGCTTGTTTATCAACCGATTTTCTTATTTTTTTCGGCAAAAAACATGGGAGGATGTATGCTATGCATTGGTATGAATTGTGGCTAATTAGAAGATATGAGTGACCTCTAAAAGTTGGTTTTAAATAAATTCACAAATTTTGGAACATATCACACTTTGATAACATTGGGTAAGACTACAATATAAGCCAAAGTGGTTTAAACTTTACATGGGGCCTTTAAATGATATTTGCCAGACAGACCAATAATGATATGGTATCCACAAAACATTTCTTTAGGATAGTGTGCTCGAGATTACTTTTACAATTTATGAACAATGAGAAAATATGACTAAAGAACATAGGAAAATTAATAAGTCTTTTTTATTCTCACTTTTCAACACTACGCACTGGCGTTTTGGCGTACATTGTTCCTACGCCACTGCGGGTATACCAAGTAGGTCATCTATTGCCCAAGTATATGTTCATGTAACACCAATAAATGAACACACTCCAATTTTCTCATCGCCCACTGGTTATTCATCATCAATTAGTGAAGGCGCTCCTTTAGGAACAATGCTCATGACCTTGTCTGCTTCAGATGATGATTCTGGTTCACATGGTCAAGTAAGATATTCTTTTTTATCTGGAAATGCAAATGGTGATTTTGCGATTGTCTCGAGCAATGGAGAAATCGTTACAACAAGTAGGTTAGATAGAGAAACTACTGATTCATATACATTTACTGTAAGGGCTTCAGATAGTTCACCCGGCAGCGCAGATGAACGATCTGTTGATGCAACAGTTAATGTGATGATTACTGATGCTAATGACAATGCTCCAATCTTCTCACCATTGGTGTACACAACAACTTTGCTTGAAGGAGCTGGTGTTGGAACGATAGTGGAAGCAGTGACATCGACAGACAGGGATCTTGGTACCAATGCGGTTACAACATACAGCATTACAGCTGGAAATAGTGATGATAAGTTTGCAATGGTTAGTAATGAGATTGTTACAACAGGTGCACTAAACCAGACTAACATTGCTCAATACCGATTAGAGATCACTGCAACAGATCGTGGAATTCCTCCACTAAGCTCGGTTGCACATGTAGTAATAAATGTCCTTGTCCAGAATGACTATACACCTGTATTTAATGAGTACACACGAACAGTGTCCATTCTGGAAAATATCCCCATTGGGTCGTCTATATACACTGCAGTGGCAACAGACGGTGATCATGATAGTCTAGCCTATTCAATCACACGGGGAAACAGTTTAAACAACTCTACATTCATTATAGATTTTGCAACAGGTGAAGTAAAAGTTGGCTCATACTTAGACTATGATACCAATCCACAGAGGTATACACTTACAATAAGTGTAAGTGATGTAATGGACTCTACAAACACTCGTAACACAAACACAATGACTCTGACTGTGAAACTCTTGGATGTCAATGACAACGCTCCTGCGTTCCCACAAAGCTCATATACTGTTAATATTGACGAATCAGCTGGCATTGGTGACAAGGTTGCTGTGTTAAGTGCAACAGATGCTGATGCAACCAGCAACGCTGATATCTTGTACTCCATATCAGGAGGGGAAGGAATAGATCTGTTTACCATTGGTGCATCAACTGGAGAAATATTCACACTTGATAGTTTGGATGCGGAAACAAAATCATCATATGTTATTCATGTAAAAGCAAGTGATCGAGGAACCCCTGCTTTGTCGACGATAATTAACGTTGTGGTCAATGTTAATGATGTGAACGATAATGTCCCTACGTTTGAACATGTACTGTACAGTACAAGCATACTTGAAAACCAACCAGAGAATACTTTTATTGCTACAGTAAATGCAGACGATGGTGACACTATGGTAAATGGTCAGATAACATATAGTATTCTGAGCAGTACAGATCCAAATGGTCATTTTAATATCAATGCAAGCTCTGGTCTAGTGACAACAAATGCTATATTGGACAGGGAATCTATTGACGGGTAAGTAGATGCTTTTATTGTTTGTGATTTATAGTGTGACAGAACTCAAGGCACATAAAATATTAACTGTTACACTAAAACTAAAAATTAAATCAAACTCTATACAACCTTTAAAAGTATATCTTCTCTATACTTTAGTAGTCAAACTCTATGTGATTATGTTCCAGGTATGACTTAGTTATACTTGCAGTAGACAATGGCTCCCCTCCACAAACTGGTTCAGCTACTCTTAGCGTTGATGTGAAAGATACAAATGACAATAGCCCCATCATACATAATTCCCCAACAACTATTACGATTGCAGAAGATATTGTCATTGGTACAGTTGTGGGTGCCATTAACGCTACAGATGATGATATAGGAATTAATGGAGAGTTGAAATTTTACATTGTTAACGGAGATCCTCGTAAGAACTTTAATGTAGATATCAATAGCGGACAAATATCAGTATTCTCAAATTTGGACAGGGAAACTTCTTCCGTGTATGTTTTGAGTACTAAAGTAGAAGATAAAGGCAGTCCAAAATCAACAACAACCGGATGTACCACTGTTTCCATAACGGATATTAATGACAATCGTCCAGTTTTCCCTCTTCCAAAGTATGAGTTCAACTTACCAGAAGATGTTGCTTTACTGACGAGTGTAGGTCAAGTAACAGCCGGCGATGCAGACTTTGGTCTAAATGCAGCAATTGAATATTCTATAATTGATGGTGATATAAACAATGTTTTTACCATTAATGTCAACACAGGTTCCATAACAACAAACAGATTGCTGGATTTTGAAACGAGTTCAGTTTATAAATTGGTGATCCGGGCAAGCGATAGAGGGATACTCTCATTGTCGTCTACAATCGTTTCTTATATTACCATCGAAAATGTAAATGAACGTCCACCTGTTTTTATACCTTCTGCTGTATATACAGTTTCTGTTAGTGAATCTGCCAAATTTGGTGACACTGTGATAGCCATTCAGGCTGAGGATCCTGATCAGGAGAGTGTTATATATACGATATTATCAGGAGATCCAATGGGTTTATTCACAATTGATTTCAATAGTGGAATGGTTTCGTTAATTGGTGTGTTGGACAGAGAAATTTCACCGAGTTACACACTAATTATCAAGGCTGATGATGGCAGAGGCCTTACAAATGATGCTATATTAAATATCGCTATTGTTGATGTTAATGATAACGAACCCGAATGCCTTGAATCTCATATCGTAGAATACATACCTGAAAATGTAAATAACTGGTATGAAGTGACAACTGCCACGTGTACAGATGTGGACATGGGTAGAAATGCAGATTTGAGATATGCTATCACTTCAGGAAATCTTGGAAATGTATTTTCAATTAATCCTTCATCCGGTGTAGTTAATGTTATGAACAATTTAGATTACGAATCGATTACTGAATACCAGCTCACTATAACTATAACAGATACTATGGGAGCAATAACAAGATCGACTCTTTCAAGCACCATACTGCTGTCGGTGTATGTGACGAGAGTGAATGACTTTGATCCAACTTTTACTACACCAGCGGGTGGGTACCTAACAAACATATCAGAGTCATTGGCTGTCGGCCAACACGTCTTACAAGTAACTGCTACCGACGCTGACAGGGGTGTGGATGGAGATCTAAAGTACACAATCATAAGTGGTAATGACCAGAATGTGTTTAATATTGATACACAGACGGGAATTATATACTTGTCCGATTTTTTAGACAGAGAAGTTGATGATGCTTTTACTCTACGGATAAAAGCTGAAGATAGTGCAGTAAATGCAACAATGAGACGTTATGTTGAAGAAACCGTCAAAGTGTATGTAGACGATGAAAATGATAACATTCCTTTATTTACTCCATCCGCATATTCAACAACAGTTCTTGAGGGAGAACCAATTGGAGCGAGTATTACGTTGCTTACTGTGACTGATGCTGATATTGGTACCAATGGTGATGTTAATCTCGTCATCAGTGAAGGAAACTCAAATGCGGTATTTCTACTCGATGGTAACACGTTAAAGATTCAGAGGAAGCTAGACCATGAATTAAGACCCCGGCATAACCTCAAGATAATGGCAACTGATGCAGGACATCCACCTTTGTCCTCCATTGCGACTGTGTCTGTGTCAGTCCTGTCACAAAATGAATTTGTTCCACAATTTGTTGACAATGCCACAAGGACAATAACAATTCCAGAGAACATAGCAATCAATTCAGTAATTTACGAAGCTTCGGCAACTGATTTTGATAAAGGAATACATGGTGATCTTACCTACTCTATAACAAGTGGGGTCGAGAATAATGAGTTTATTATGGATTACACAACGGGGATACTTTCGGTTGGAAGTGTTCTTGACTATGATGTCCCTCCTAAGGCATATACGCTTACATTATCTGTTGTTGACACTGGAGATGTGACATACAGCGCAACGATGACTCTGGTAATAACACTAAGTGATATCAATGATAACCCACCTACATTCTCCAACCGTATGTACAAACTCTCAATCCTAGAGGACACTCCAGCAGGAACAAATGTCACTATTATAACTGCTTATGACATCGATTCAGCAGGCCCTAATAATACTATAGCATATAGAATAGTTGGTGGAGATACCGTTAACAAGTTTATGGTTCATGCAGAAGATGGGACGATAGGTTCCATAACAGAACTAGACCGGGAATCACAAGAATCATACCTTATGTACATAATGGCCACGGATGCTGGTACTCCTGCTCTATCAAGTATGGCAGCAGTAAGCATTACACTAATTGACGTTAATGACAATTCACCAGTGTTCCAACTGGAAACATACGAGGCCACTGTTCGAGAGAATCGAGCCAGGGGAGAACAGGTCGTGTATGTGTTGGCAACAGATGAGGATGCTGGGCTAAATAGTAAGGTGACATATAACATCAGTGCACAGTCTGACCCCAATGGCCACTTCTACGTTGATGATAATACCGGTAGGATACACACAACAGCTAGTCTAGATAGGGAAAGTATTGACAGGTAATATGTAAAGTCTTGATCTCATGTAAATCTTTTTTTTCATTTTATTTGTTGCATGTTCAATATCAAGCGGGAATGTAAGCATTGCAATTTAGTAAGTTCAGGTGAAACAGAAAGATGCTATGAGTATCAGAATGGTGTTATGCCGTTACTCTGTAGCATGTAGTCACGTAATACTCTTCGATCAATAAACTAAGATAAATATATGAATATATATAATATCCAGGCCTCCTAGACTTCCACCAACGCGAACATTAGTTCTGAGCTTGCGAACTATGTTCCTTGCGCTCGAACCACGATTCTCACGTCGCAAACGCGAACAGAGATCCGTGCTCGCGATTAATTTGTACATAGTGCATCCGGGTATTTGCGATTCCAATTGCAAGCAACAATAGGAGTCTGGTTGCAGTTTACATTGACCCTTATACATGTACACATGTATTTCAATAGAGTCATAAACTCTCCCAGCCAATGAAAAGCCATGTTTTTGTTTTCATTACCCAGCCCTTTCACTGACAAAGTCAATGGGATCGAAACGTAGTCCCAATTTTGTGTGTGTCCTGGAGCTTGAAGATGCTGTCATCGTCAATTAGTGGATATTCATTAACATGAATGAAAACTGGGAAAAGTATTTCTTCCGAATTCCAAATAAAAACACTTCATTGGAATTTTAGTTATGCGTAATAATACGAATAAAATGACGGACTTTTTTCGATCAGGTGTGTGGTGTGTGGTTAGCGAGTGGAGAAAAATGTTCGGGACATGGTGGAGCGCGACTTAAGATTTCTCGATCGCGACGTGAGAATCGTGGTTCGAGCGCAAGGAACGTAGTTCGCGAGGTCAGAACTGATGTTCGCGTTGGTGGAAGTCTAAGGAGGCCTAATATCAAGATTTTCATTACTTTAAAAATCTTGACCATTACACATTTTCTTATTTATCACACTTTAGGTATACTTTAATTGTACTGGCAGCTGATAGCGGATTACCCTCTCTTACTAGTTCAGCAACTGTTACAGTTAATGTAGCTGATGAGAACGATAATGACCCAATCTTTAAAGACCTGCCATATAGAACTAGCATACATGAAAACACCACACGATTAGCACAAGCGTTACAAATCAACGCTGTGGATTATGACACTGAACAAAATGCCATGCTTATATATAGGATTCATAGTGGTAACATTAATGGTGATTTCACTATCAATTCTATGTCTGGTAGCATCACCATTGAAAAGGAACTTGACAGAGAAAGAATCAATCAGTATAAGATAGTGGTCGCGGCTGAAGACACTGGTATCCCTGTAAGGTCAGACACTGCCACAGCAACCATTACAGTTCTAGATAACAACGATAACCCTCCCGCATTCACAAGTGACTCCTATACATTATATGTGAGTGAGAACACTCCATTATTGTCCATAGTGGGGACTATCACGGCAACAGACCCTGACATCAACAATAATGGCGCCATCCAGTATGAAATATCTGAGGTTATATCTGGATTTAATAATTTCATTATCGATTCAGCAATGGGAGTTATTAAAACGAATCATGTGTTAAATCGTGAACACACACACAGATATGAACTCCGATGCATCGCAAAAGACAATGGTGAACCAGTGTTAACTGGCACTACGACTGTAACCATTATCGTTGAAGATCTAAATGACAATGCACCTCTGTTCAACCAGGCACAGTATGACATTACCATAGTAGAGAACACACAAGTCGGAAATGTCATATTCCAAGTTCAAGCCACTGATATGGATCTATCAAACAATGCAAATTTAATCTACTCCTTGGCACC